CACTGGGTATACGAAATGGCGAACATGCTCTTGAGAGGCAAGGCTGAAACCATTCAGCAATACAAGGGGAAGCACCAATTAGAGTTTGCGACGAACGACGCTTTGAGTAGCCTCCCTTCTCCCAGGGTTATCAATACGCACTTCCGGTTGTCAGATGCACCCCGAGAGGTGAAGGAAAAGAAATGCAAGATTATCTACAATCTTAGAGATCCGAAAGATGTGGCTGTGTCCCTCTATCACACCTATATCGATCTGAAGGTTTCGGAATGCGAGTGCTCGTTTGAGGGATTTTTGTATCTGTTTCTTGAAGGAAAAGGTGCGCAAATTGTTCATTTCAGTGTTCACCTGTCGCTCGCATTTTTTATCAAAACTGCATGAAACATTTCACGAGAGAAAAGGCAAATGAACAGTTTTACCCTCCGATTGAAATAATTCTAATTCAGGGTACGGTGCATCCATTTTATAATAAATACAGAATGTTTAGAATGAGGTTTTAACAGAACACTGTTGACTGCTTCATCAACTGGGTACCAGTAAATACATCTTATACTTATGACAGGGGGGCTGAAGGTGTAGGGGCGGTGGGGTAGCCTAGTGGTTAAAGCGTTCACTCTTCATGCCGAAGGCCCGGGTTCGATTCCCCACATGGGTACAATGTGTTAAGCCCATTACTGATGACCCCGGCCGTGGTATTGCTTTAATATAGCTAAAAGCGGCATAAAACTATACTCACTGACTGACTGTAGGTGAAGTACTGCTTGGTGGTTTCAGTTGAAGACGGTGGCATATTTGATCATTTGCTCGCAGCTGAGGAATTATTCAAAGAGAATCCAGACATTCCTGTTTACATCCATATTTATGAAGACACTCAACAGGTGGGTAAATGCATTACATGTGTATCAGGATCATACTTGATTTATCAGTGCGTTTTGGGAGACTGTTTCGTTTGCATGTATATGTTTCTAGCCCAAAGAATAACCATACGATAACTGTTCTATTTATCTACATGTCTATGTGTTAGGTAGTCTTCATTGAGGAATATTCAACTTGAGAGATTTTCCAGGTTTACGTGTATGTCACAGAAACGTTAAAATGGTTTTGATGCGACTGTAGTCTAGTTTTATTACTTTCAGTTGACTTTTCACTTTTATTTCAATGCATTGTCATATACTACAGACCAACAACTTTACATATTCTCAAAACAAACGTTGATTCTAATTGTTCTTATTTGCCCTCACCCTTGCCCTTCGACAACCGACTCATCTTATTTCATACACGGATGTTTCGAAGTGTTTACCTAAATCCACATACTTCCCTCCTTAAACATTTCAGAGGGCACGGGTGGCCCAGTCGTCTAAGACGTCTAAGTTGCGTCCCTTGGGCACGCCAGAAACCTATGATTGTGGGTTCGAATCCCGGTTCGCCCCGATTATGTTTCTAGGTTTGTCAGCACCATACCCGTGCTCGTGGGTTTCACAGAAGTGGTAAACGTCTGAGACCTGCATCACTTCGGGCTTTCCTCCCACATTAAGCTGACACGCAGCGATATAACTGGAATAATGTTAAAAGCGGCGTTAAACCCAACTCACTCACTCACTCACTTGAACCTTTCAATAAATAGTTAGAAAAATTGTGACATTTGACCACTTAGCTTGACTAAAGACTTAATCTTTACGTGTCCATTAGAGACTCAAGCCGTCACTCCCGAACAGTGAAAGTGCCATGACATATTTATCAAGCTCAGGGGTGGAAAACGGTCTCAAATGTCGAGTCGTGAATGACATGATTGTATAGCTACTTTTTTTCCTCTCTCAATTAAAGTACAGGATGTTTGTTACCTGTCAAAAAAAGCACAAAAAGAACCTTTGGACAAATGTAGTCGTCCTGCCCTCCTTCATTTTTTCCATGAGTGAGTGACTGATATTGATTTAACGCCGCTTTGAACAGTATTTCAGTTATTTCACAGAGTGTCAGTTTGATGTTGGATGAAACCCCTAAGTGATACAAATCTTGGACATTTACCTCGTAGATGTGTGTCACTAGTTTTAAGCGATAACAAATGCTGAACATTTGGGAAATTGAAAATTTCGATCCCGACATGTCAAAGACATTACAATACTTTTGGTATAAATCACACCAGTCTCGAATATCTTTGTATAAGTTAGAAAAATGAACATAATCCCCGACAGATTTAGGATCACAATTACTTCTGTATGTTTGTAGAGTCCCCTCTTGGCTGTGCAGCGCCTCTCTGATTTTCTTGGTCTGTCTAGAGACAATGACCTTTGCCAAGCCATTGCTGACAAATGTCAGATTTCCAACATGAGAAGAGACAAAGAAAAATACTCACTTAAAGCTGATGGGAAAAGCTCGCTGTATCGAAAAGGTAAGTTACTTGTTTAGACCTATAATGCTGTACAAGGGCCGATTACGTCCGTTTAAAACCCGCTAGAAGTACTAAATGTGGATATAGGATATGGTTTGATATGAAACACGAACAAAGAAAAAGCTTACATGTGCGTGTTCATAACACAAAATTCATGTTATGTTTTTTTTTTATAAATGAGCAGAATAAAGATACTTGATAGGTTTCAGCTGACCAAATGCAGCGTCTTCTCAGAAAATGCAAGCGGAAAGAGTGCTTCCATGATTTTGTCACTTACGCATCGCGGTGTTACTTCAGAGAATGTGGTCGGTCTAGTGGTTAAAGCGTTCGCTCGTCAGACCGAAGACCCGGGCTCGATTCCCGACATGGGTACAATGTGTGAGGCCCCTTTCTGGTGTCCCCCGCCGTGATATTGCTGGAATACTTCTAAAAGCGGCGTAAAACCATACTCACTCACTCACTTCAGAGAATGGCGACAAATTGATGCATAGTAACAGTGGTAAAAACAACTCAAATGTCAAGCAAGAGGCGTGATTTGATCGGGGAGGGAGCTCTAACAGGTTGCTAATAATCTCTACAAGTGAATAAGTTCTTCTTTAAGGAAACCGAATTGGCAAACAAATGATGTGAAAATTCGGTTGTGGTGGACGTTAACAATTTCCAATCTGGACCAACTCTTTGCAGCACTGCAAGGGGAGTGGCAATACATTTCTAGTTCGCACGTGTACTCGAGTCCTGAAGGTATTGTTTTGTTCGTTCACTATTGGTTATATTAACGTTGTCTTCCTATTTCTATAATATTATATTAAATTTATTTATTGACAGGAACCGTTGGCGACTGGAAGAACTATTTCACAGACCAAATGTTGGAAGACTACTATAGGGTGTATGAAGAAAAAATGGCTGGTTCGAGATTCTTTAGTCTGTACGCGCGAAACACATGACAAGGTCTCATATCTTAATTTTATCAATAATCATGGTTGCGTGATGAAACTGTATCCACTAGGGAATTGACATCACATCCCATATTCATCTTATTTCAAAATAATTTGTATAATGTTAGGGCTGAATAATATAATATGTATCTTTATAATAAAACAAAATAGACCAGAAGTTTGATTTGGATTGCATGACTTGGTTCAGGCTAGAGTAGGCGTGGGCTCAAAACAGAAAACCCTGTGATTGACTGATTCCAGGCTGATAGTTTCAAAGATCCACAACAGATTACAGCTACATGTTGACTGTATAGATCTGACGAGGACCTGTCAGCGTGTTGTCATTCATGTCTATTAGAACGAAGGTCAAGGTTGCCGAGGCTATGTGACTTGCGGCATCATTGTCGTACACATTCATATACGTCAACAGTCAGTTCAATGAGTGTCTGGGTGGAGTGAGTGAGTGAGTGAGTTGGGTTAAACGCCGCTTTTAACAGTATTCCAGTTATATTACGGCGTGTCAGCTTAATGTGGGAGGAAAGCCCGAAGTGATGCAGGTCACAGAAGTTTACCACTTCGGTGAAACCCACGAGCACGGGTATGGTGCTGACAAACCTAGAAACAAAATCGGGGCGAACCGGGATTCGAACCCACAATCATAGGTTTCTGGCGTGCCCAAGGGACGCAACTCTGCACAGCGAATCGCGGCGCCTTAGACGACTGGGCCACCCGTGCCCCCGTCTGGGTGGACATGTTGTCTATGATAGTTGACTGTTCATTTGGGGTTCACAATAAAGTACAGTGTATATCTCACCAACAATATCATATGTTAATATGTCACCGTCGTCATTTTCAATCACGGAAAAAAGTGTACTTTGTACGTATGCTAGTAGTATGTCGTTCTCGTACAAACTGTTAAGGGATTACATGTTTTTAAATTAACTATTTATGTTAAATGTATCAATTCCGTCCAAATATTCCTTTGCGATATATTGGGTTAGCCCAGTGGCTAAAGCGTTCGCTCGTCACGCCGAGGGCCCGGGTTCGATTCCCCACATGGGTAGTCTCTGACTATAGTCATATGGCCCGTGAAGATCCGGGTTAGAATAGGCCTTCAGCAACCCATACTTGCCGTTAAATGCGACTTTGCTTGTCGTAAGAGGCAACCAACGGGATCGGGTGGTCAGGCTCGCTGACTTGGTTGATGCATGTCATCGTATCCCAATTGCGTGGATCGATGCTCATGATGTCAATCACTTGATTGTCTGGTCCAGACTCGATAATTTAAAGACCGCCGTCATATAGCTGGAATATTGCTGAGTGCGGCGTTAAACAACAAACAAACAAACAAACAAATCACGGGTCTCACAATCACATAGATGTGCAATATATGTTGACTACAGGACCTAAATGTTGTTGATTCATAATATTTGATAAATATTGAGCATTGATCTAATAACGATATGTTTTCTTCCCGCGTTCAAGGAGTACCATGTACGTAAGGTATGACATCCTATCATGGTTTTGAAGAGTCCAGATCCAGACTCGATTATTTGAAGACCGCCGTCATAATGGAATAATGCTTTGAGCGGCGTTAAACAACATATAAACAAACAAACAAACAAACTGTTAGCGCAGTGACTGAGGTCAACGAACCTCGTGAACAGCATGCACAGACAGATACGCATGTAGAAAGTAGGCTGCAGTGGGCCCCACGCGATCAGGAGGTTGTTAGTACATACTTGCATATTTCAAAGCAGAAACAAGGAGATGGCTACGCCAAAGCACATCCTTACGGTGAGTAAGGCTAGTAATTTATTAGGGGTGGGTAAGGGTTGTTAGATTGGCCTTAGAACAGTATCACATTCGGTATTAAACAACAAACATTTCATGACAGCAATAAGTGCACGTTATCGCAGAAACTGAGGTCAAACAGGCGCCTCGACATGTAGCGACCACAGGCACGTAATAATCTCTCTATATATATGGCAATGTGTTTTGGCAAAGTCACACTTGTCCGAAAGCTCCTGATGCCGAAGTCACTCGATCCTTGAAACTTTGTGGGTCCCATGGCAGTGACCCAGATTCCCTGTTGATTGGAATGACAAGTGTCATTTGCATAAGGCCATCCATATTTTTTATATGTGTTTCTCACCAGCGGACCGACGAAATAAAATATGTAACTTATTAAAAAAAATGCCTTTCAATATTTGTGAAAGTTATTTTATGACATTTAAAATATGTTTAAAACACTTGGTACTAGAATTTAGTCTATAAATTAATGTATGATGTTGATCGAGTCGCTTTGCTTCTGAAACTAGATTTTAATCAACATCTGAAGAAAGATAAAGTTGACCAGTTCTTTTATGACGGCACAATGGTAGATATTGACCTATTAGTATTTCTTTTATTAAGAATTGACCTTCACTTTGTGTGAGTTCATTGGAGTAGGTACCTTTCGAGTGAGGGCGAAACTGGGCGTATGGATGCACAATGTTTGGCCCTCACTCTATGAAGGTTCCTACTCCAATGAACTCACACAAAGTGAAAGTCAATTCTTAATTTTTTTTATCACAATTTCTTACCTCAAAGGATGAAGGCCAAGATCTAAACACAATTTTATTTAGTACGTGTGACTTCATGTTTACACTGACAGCCATACAACAACCAGCTATACAGTAAAGCTATCGGAGTAAAATAGTTCCTCAAAAAGAGAGGTGACATGGGCGTATGGATGCACAACTTGCTCTTCAGAAACATCTTACGCAGCACATGTGTTCAAATCATATCCTCATTAGATGAGAAAGGTCTGTAAAGAACTACCTCAGTAAGTCAGTCACAATGACAGCGCGTCGTAATACATTTACATCAATGTACAAGACGTCAAAATGGCCGACACGATAAACGTGACGGGAGAGATTTCCGAAGTTGTTAATGAACCTGTGGCTGTTACATGTGTTAGTCATCATTGATCAACTGGCCGATCATTGAAAGGTGAATAAAGATGCGTCAAACAGACACAAAGGTAAATTCATAGAATGCTGGAGACGGTCAATGTCAGCCTAGGCACGGATCGAGTCGATACTACGATAGTTTAGATGTGCATTTCTTCGTTTGTTAATTAGGATATCAGCGAGGATATTCGTGAACACTCATGCAGTCACGTTCTCTGACATTTCTCAATGTATACTGAAACGCTGAGACCAAGAATAAAGGTTCTAAATGATCGGAAAGAACGCTTATGCATGTTTTCGTGCTAGGGAATTCCAAAGGGGTTTCCCCAAGAATGTGGAAGTAGTCCGTCAGTGTTTATGTCATTTCAAGAACACGGTCTCGTGAAAAACGAATGAACGTCAAATTGTGTCGTTCATACACTTATGAACGTCATTTTCGCGGTCATGTGATCGTCCTCTCGTCCAATGGAAAAGCCGTATATCGTGTAAACTTCAAAATAAAAATAAAAATTAGATTTGAATCACTGGACTCGATTATTTACAGACCGCCGTCATATAGCTGGAATATTGCTTTGTGCGGCGTTAAACAACCAAAAATGTATTAGATTTGTGCATAATTTTCCACAGCGGCCGGACGAGTTGAGTCACGAAAACTATATAATTTCCTGTCGGAATGGAGATGGTGAACTCAGATAAAATACGGACAGTCTCACATACTTCGAAACGATGTTCAGATAAAATGTTTTGTTAACTCCAATTCTGTCATGGACGTGAACTTGGATTTCAACATTATTTCCATCAAGATTATTTAGGTCGTTTGCTACACGGATCACCCTCTTTTGTAAATACACACAGCCACATTCGCGGCTTCGTCACAAAAGTCCTTCGACCTACTCATCCACGTGATCAGGGTTACGACCTTGGGATGATTTGGTTGGTTTGTTGTTTAACGCCGCACTCAGCAATATTCAAGCAATATGACGGCGGTCTGTAAATAATCGAGTCTGGACCAGACAATCCAGTGATTGATATCATGAGCATCGATCCACGCAATTTGGATCGATGACATGCATCAACCAAGTCAGCGAGCCTGACCACCCGATCCCGTTAGTCGCCTTTTACGACAAGCATAGTCGCCTTTTACGGCAAGCATGGGTTGCTGAATTAATAAATCAATTTGCGTTTTTAGAAAAGAGTTGTACATCCTGTACATGGTATTTATGGACTGCACTGTGGATTTCTTATATTCTTTTTACTTTCTAAAACGATTTGTTTCCCCCTTTCTGACCACGCGATCTCCTAGCAACCACTCCCCATGAACATATCCGAGTTAGATTGCTGCTTACGACTGTCAAGAATTTCTTCGTTTGTCTTCAATATTAGCAACAAAACATTTTCGTGTGACGCTTAATTTGACGGAGAGTTAATCGAGATGCTGAGGGAGCATTTGGTTATTTGGATTATGACATTGGCGACTTTATCGTGGAGAAAGTTCCAATTCAAGCTGACTTCATTCCGACGGTCAACTCAATCGACAATATGGCGCCTCTCTGCCCGAGTGAGTGAGTGAGTATGGTTTTACGCCGCTTTTAGCAATAGTACAGCAATATCACGGCGGGGGACACCAGAAATGGGCTTCACACATTGTACCCATGTCGGGGATCGAACCCGGGTCTTCGGCGTGATGAGCGAACGCTTTAACCATTAGGCGACCCGACCTCTCCTCCCGCCCTTGCAAGTGCAGGGAAACTTTGACAAACTCAGTGCCGATTCTTGGGATTAGTGAATCAGTGTCAGCGAAATTTCATTGTGCAACCAGATGAACCTAATTATGTATGTTCACAATTCTTTTATCAACCATGCGTGACACGGCAAAGGCAATCGCAGTTAGGGAATGGTGCGGCCACCATGTTGTATAAATTCGCCAATTCAAAAACAGTACTAGTGCTGCCAATACTTCTGGACTGAGCTAAATACACGAAGTGTTTGGAGAGGTCGTAGATTCTCGGACTTGAAGACACGGATATTAAACGTTGCAGCAGATGAACGATTGGTGTGAACAAAACGGGAAAGGGATCCCAAATTGTATTTTAAAACTTGTGCGCGAATTCGAAGTGTATCCAAATCCCCCGAACAAAAAATACATGGGACAAATGTGGATCTAATGATCTAACTCAGTTTTGTGTGTGAAAATTCTGTGAAAGAAAAGGAAATCCATAATTAAAGTTGTCTTGGAATATGTGTATTGTGGTTTTCGTTTTTCGTAAGTACAATATTATCTAGATATGCCTAATGTAGGTCAAAACAGCTAGTATATTTCGTTACTTATTTATCAGTTGCTTATGTGCAATGTGATGTTGATACACGTGACATATTCATGTATTGAAGTCAAGCTGAGAAATATCAGCGCAACCTATGGTGCTTCAAATAAGGCCTCTTCTTAAACACTTGTTGAAATATCTGTGTAATAATTTAAGTTAAATATATGTAATCTGATTATTGTGTGGTATAGATCTAACTGTTGAATGCAAATGACCAAGACTAAGTAATTTTCGGATTGAACTTAAAGAATCTTGTCAATTTCGTATTTAATGTATCGTTACTGTTACATTAACCGAAACCGTTGTGCTCCCGACACTCGGGTGCGTTTACATTGTCAGCCACTGCTAGAAACTGAAACACCGCCACCTTGCGGGCTATTTGTAGTCAGGGTGGGGCTTTAAGGTCGTTGTGAGAGTCCTCAACATATGTCAATAAATTATCATAATTCTAATTTAGAGACAAAAGAGACAAAATGATGTCACACACAGAAATGATGTATCACACAGATACCTGTAATAAACATTACTCCCTACATATTCACCATGTATAACAAGGCATTATGTCGATTAAATGGAACATGATAGTAAGATTTCCATTTCGTAATGTTGATTTGAGTTACTCACCAATTGTTAAACATGGGTTTAACATGTTTAACATGTTTTAACATGCAGTACATAACGTACGTGTGTGTGTGTGTGTGTGTGTGTGTGTGTGTGTGTGTGTGTGTGTGTGTGTTTTTGTGTGTGTGTGTGTGTGTGTGTGGGTGGGTGGGTGTGTCTCGGTGGGCGGGGTTATAGTGTTAGCCCATTGAGATACCATGCCGCAGTTGTAATATGAATACTCCACTCAAACACAGTAAACTGACCAGTCATATTTTATCCCTTTAATGCCGAACGCAAGGCATGGTATCCGGAAATACAATCTTTTAGCGTCCTTTGGTGTGACGCGGTCGGCCATCCGCGCTCTTCGGGCAGACTTCTCTATCCACTTGACCTCGGAGGAGATTTTTTATATTTTGTTTGGAGTGAGTGAGTGAGTGAGTTAAAGTTTATATATATATATTTCAGATTGATGACCAAGTGAACCCTGCCGACCAAAGTCAAATGGATATCAAGGTTGAAACTGACAAGTTTGGCAAGACCATAAAATATATGATGTTTAGAGGTCGCCACTACCTTCCAGCATACGATATGTCAATCCTCGAACAAATACAGAACGTCTCCATGAGACCCGATGATATTTACTTCCCTGCTTTTCCAAGGACAGGTATGCTACTCTTTTAAAAACTTTCAAAAGGTAAACCATATGTTTAAACGTTGTGTTCACGTACCTACCATGGCAGTTAGAATTATGAGCCTTGGGCTCCCAACGTATACACAGTGACACCCACAGTCGGCCGATCTCTCCTTCCGGACAGTTTGGGTGGGAATGGAACTTGAAAACAAAATCCTGGACGATCCAGACACTTTAGTACAAATAACCTTAATTCAAAAACCGAACACTGGTGTCAAAAAACATTATGACAGAAGGAAGTATGATCCAGTGGGGTGGTCTGAATAACTTCATGACTGTCTCTTAGTAGAACGCCCCTGTGTAAAATACAGAAATACGTATCGATAACATTCACATCTAAAAAAGATTAACTTTGGAAAAAACTAATAGTTGTTGTACTGCATGGAATGAGGTTTACCGGCTCCACGCCCATGCCCACCTGTTATGTAGCATGGGGTCTTGTTACGTAAAATGACAACGACTGATGGAAAATGTCAGAGAGTTTGTGTTTTTAGAAAGAGAACAACCATAAAGTGCTTTCCAAATATCGTGACCTGGACCTTCTTCCATGACAAATATATAAAACCTGTTATTATTACTGAATGCGGTGTTGAACCATATTCATCCAATATCCCTAAACATGATGATGAGCACCCCATGTTTTCCATGCTGACAGAAATGCCTGTATGTGTGGCAGCCCATATGCAGCGTCCTTGTCTAAGCCCTAAGCCATACTATTACTTTGAGTAACCATAGTACATGCATACTTCTGATAATGCGTCTGTCCTTTTCCAGAGATTAAACGATAATCTATTTCCAGGAACTCACTGGGTATACGAAATGGCGAACATGCTCTTGAGAGGCAAGGCTGAAACCATTCAGCAATACAAGGGGAAGCACCAATTAGAGTTTGCGACGAACGACGCTTTGAGTAGCCTCCCTTCTCCCAGGGTTATCAATACGCACTTCCGGTTGTCAGATGCACCCCGAGAGGTGAAGGAAAAGAAATGCAAGATTATCTACAATCTTAGAGATCCGAAAGATGTGGCTGTGTCCCTCTATCACACCTATATCGATCTGAAGGTTTCGGAATGCGAGTGCTCGTTTGAGGGATTTTTGTATCTGTTTCTTGAAGGAAAAGGTGCGCAAATTGTTCATTTCAGTGTTCACCTGTCGCTCGCATTTTTTATCAAAACTGCATGAAACATTTCACGAGAGAAAAGGCAAATGAACAGTTTTACCCTCCGATTGAAATAATTCTAATTCAGGGTACGGTGCATCCATTTTATAATAAATACAGAATGTTTAGAATGAGGTTTTAACAGAACACTGTTGACTGCTTCATCAACTGGGTACCAGTAAATACATCTTATACTTATGACAGGGGGACTGAAGGTGTAGGGGCGGTGGGGTAGCCTAGTGGTTAAAGCGTTCACTCTTCATGCCGAAGGCCCGGGTTCGATTCCCCACATGGGTACAATGTGTTAAGCCCATTTCTGATGACCCCGGCCGTGGTATTGCTTTAATATAGCTAAAAGCGGCATAAAACTATACTCACTGACTGACTGTAGGTGAAGTACTGCTTGGTGGTTTCAGTTGAAGACGGTGGCATATTTGATCATTTGCTCGCAGCTGAGGAATTATTCAAAGAGAATCCAGACATTCCTGTTTACATCCATATTTATGAAGACACTCAACAGGTGGGTAAATGCATTACATGTGTATCAGGATCATACTTGATTTATCAGTGCGTTTTGGGAGACTGTTTCGTTTGCATGTATATGTTTCTAGCCCAAAGAATAACCATACGATAACTGTTCTATTTATCTACATGTCTATGTGTTAGGTAGTCTTCATTGAGGAATATTCAACTTGAGAGATTTTCCAGGTTTACGTGTATGTCACAGAAACGTTAAAATGGTTTTGATGCGACTGTAGTCTAGTTTTATTACTTTCAGTTGACTTTTCACTTTTATTTCAATGCATTGTCATATACTACAGACCAACAACTTTACATATTCTCAAAACAAACGTTGATTCTAATTGTTCTTATTTGCCCTCACCCTTGCCCTTCGACAACCGACTCATCTTATTTCATACACGGATGTTTCGAAGTGTTTACCTAAATCCACATACTTCCCTCCTTAAACATTTCAGAGGGCACGGGTGGCCCAGTCGTCTAAGACGTCTAAGTTGCGTCCCTTGGGCACGCCAGAAACCTATGATTGTGGGTTCGAATCCCGGTTCGCCCCGATTATGTTTCTAGGTTTGTCAGCACCATACCCGTGCTCGTGGGTTTCACAGAAGTGGTAAACGTCTGAGACCTGCATCACTTCGGGCTTTCCTCCCACATTAAGCTGACACGCAGCGATATAACTGAAATAATGTTAAAAGCGGCGTTAAACCCAACTCACTCACTCACTCACTTGAACCTTTCAATAAATAGTTAGAAAAATTGTGACATTTGACCACTTAGCTTGACTAAAGACTTAATCTTTACGTGTCCATTAGAGACTCAAGCCGTCACTCCCGAACAGTGAAAGTGCCATGACATATTTATCAAGCTCAGGGGTGGAAAACGGTCTCAAATGTCGAGTCGTGAATGACATGATTGTATAGCTACTTTTTTTCCTCTCTCAATTAAAGTACAGGATGTTTGTTACCTGTCAAAAAAAGCACAAAAAGAACCTTTGGACAAATGTAGTCGTCCTGCCCTCCTTCATTTTTTCCATGAGTGAGTGACTGATATTGATTTAACGCCGCTTTGAACAGTATTTCAGTTATTTCACAGAGTGTCAGTTTGATGTTGGATGAAACCCCTAAGTGATACAAATCTTGGACATTTACCTCGTAGATGTGTGTCACTAGTTTTAAGCGATAACAAATGCTGAACATTTGGGAAATTGAAAATTTCGATCCCGAAATGTCAAAGACATTACAATACTTTTGGTATAAATCACACCAGTCTCGAATATCTTTGTATAAGTTAGAAAAATGAACATAATCCCCGACAGATTTAGGATCACAATTACTTCTGTATGTTTGTAGAGTCCCCTCTTGGCTGTGCAGCGCCTCTCTGATTTTCTTGGTCTGTCTAGAGACAATGACCTTTGCCAAGCCATTGCTGACAAATGTCAGATTTCCAACATGAGAAGAGACAAAGAAAAATACTCACTTAAAGCTGATGGGAAAAGCTCGCTGTATCGAAAAGGTAAGTTACTTGTTTAGACTTATAATGCTGTACAAGGGCCGATTACGTCCGTTTAAAACCCGCTAGAAGTACTAAATGTGGATATAGGATATGGTTTGATATGAAACACGAACAAAGAAAAAGCTTACATGTGCGTGTTCATAACACAAAATTCATGTTATGTTTGTTTTTTTATAAATGAGCAGAATAAAGATACTTGATAGGTTTCAGCTGACCAAATGCAGCGTCTTCTCAGAAAATGCAAGCGGAAAGAGTGCTTCCATGATTTTGTCACTTACGCATCGCGGTGTTACTTCAGAGAATGTGGTCGGTCTAGTGGTTAAAGCGTTCGCTCGTCAGACCGAAGACCCGGGCTCGATTCCCGACATGGGTACAATGTGTGAGGCCCCTTTCTGGTGTCCCCCGCCGTGATATTGCTGGAATACTTCTAAAAGCGGCGTAAAACCATACTCACTCACTCACTTCAGAGAATGGCGACAAATTGATGCATAGTAACAGTGGTAAAAACAACTCAAATGTCAAGCAAGAGGCATGATTTGATCGGGGAGGGAGCTCTAACAGGTTGCTAATAATCTCTACAAGTGAATAAGTTCTTCTTTAAGGAAACCGAATTGGCAAACAAATGATGTGAAAATTCGGTTGTGGTGGACGTTAACAATTTCCAATCTGGACCAACTCTTTGCAGCACTGCAAGGGGAGTGGCAATACATTTCTAGTTCGCACGTGTACTCGAGTCCTGAAGGTATTGTTTTGTTCGTTCACTATTGGTTATATTAACGTTGTCTTCCTATTTCTATAATATTATATTAAATTTATTTATTGACAGGAACCGTTGGCGACTGGAAGAACTATTTCACAGACCAAATGTTGGAAGACTACTATAGGGTGTATGAAGAAAAAATGGCTGGTTCGAGATTCTTTAGTCTGTACGCGCGAAACACATGACAAGGTCTCATATCTTAATTTTATCAATAATCATGGTTGCGTGATGAAACTGTATCCACTAGGGAATTGACATCACATCCCATATTCATCTTATTTCAAAATAATTTGTATAATGTTAGGGCTGAATAATATAATATGTATCTTTATAATAAAACAAAATAGACCAGAAGTTTGATTTGGATTGCATGACTTGGTTCAGGCTAGAGTAGGCGTGGGCTCAAAACAGAAAACCCTGTGATTGACTGATTCCAGGCTGATAGTTTCAAAGATCCACAACAGATTACAGCTACATGTTGACTGTATAGATCTGACGAGGACCTGTCAGCGTGTTGTCATTCATGTCTATTAGAACGAAGGTCAAGGTTGCCGAGGCTATGTGACTTGCGGCATCATTGTCGTACACATTCATATACGTCAACAGTCAGTTCAATGAGTGTCTGGGTGGAGTGAGTGAGTGAGTGAGTTGGGTTAAACGCCGCTTTTAACAGTATTCCAGTTATATTACGGCGTGTCAGCTTAATGTGGGAGGAAAGCCCGAAGTGATGCAGGTCACAGAAGTTTACCACTTCGGTGAAACCCACGAGCACGGGTATGGTGCTGACAAACCTAGAAACAAAATCGGGGCGAACCGGGATTCGAACCCACAATCATAGGTTTCTGGCGTGCCCAAGGGACGCAACTCTGCACAGCGAATCGCGGCGCCTTAGACGACTGGGCCACCCGTGCCCCCGTCTGGGTGGACATGTTGTCTATGATAGTTGACTGTTCATTTGGGGTTCACAATAAAGTACAGTGTATATCTCACCAACAATATCATATGTTAATATGTCACCGTCGTCATTTTCAATCACGGAAAAAAGTGTACTTTGTACGTATGCTAGTAGTATGTCGTTCTCGTACAAACTGTTAAGGGATTACATGTTTTTAAATTAACTATTTATGTTAAATGTATCAATTCCGTCCAAATATTCCTTTGCGATATATTGGGTTAGCCCAGTGGCTAAAGCGTTCGCTCGTCACGCCGAGGGCCCGGGTTCGATTCCCCACATGGGTAGTCTCTGACTATAGTCATATGGCCCGTGAAGATCCGGGTTAGAATAGGCCTTCAGCAACCCATACTTGCCGTTAAATGCGACTTTGCTTGTCGTAAGAGGCAACCAACGGGATCGGGTGGTCAGGCTCGCTGACTTGGTTGATGTATGTCATCGTATCCCAATTGCGTGGATCGATGCTCATGATGTCAATCACTTGATTGTCTGGTCCAGACTCGATAATTTAAAGACCGCCGTCATATAGCTGGAATATTGCTGAGTGCGGCGTTAAACAACAAACAAACAAACAAACAAATCACGGGTCTCACAATCACATAGATGTGCAATATATGTTGACTACAGGACCTAAATGTTGTTGATTCATAATATTTGATAAATATTGAGCATTGATCTAATAACGATATGTTTTCTTCCCGCGTTCAAGGAGTACCATGTACGTAAGGTATGACATCCTATCATGGTTTTGAAGAGTCCAGATCCAGACTCGATTATTTGAAGACCGCCGTCATATAGCTGGAATAATGCTTTGAGCGGCGTTAAACAACATATAAACAAACAAACAAACAAACAAACAAACTGTTAGCGCAGTGACTGAGGTCAACGAACCTCGTGAACAGCATGCACAGACAGATACGCATGTAGAAAGTAGGCTGCAGTGGGCCCCACGCGATCAGGAGGTTGTTAGTACATACTTGCATATTTCAAAGCAGAAACAAGGAGATGGCTACGCCAAAGCACATCCTTACGGTGAGTAAGACTAGTAATTTATTAGGGGTGGGTAAGGGTTGTTAGATTGGCCTTAGAACAGTATCACATTCGGTATTAAACAACAAACATTTCATGACAGCAATAAGTGCACGTTATCGCAGAAACTAAGGTCAAACAGGCGTCTCGACATGTAGCGACCACAGGCACGTAACAATCTCTCTCTATATATGGCAATGTGTTTTGTCAAAGTCACATTTGTCCGAAAGCTCCGATTCTTGAAACTTTGTTGGTCCCATGGCAGTGACCCAGATTCCCTGTTGATTGGAATGACAAGTGTCATTTGCATAAGGCCATCCATATTTTTTATATGTGTTTCTCACCTCAAACCACTAGAGAGCGGACCGACGAAATAAAATATGTAACTTATTAAAAAAAATGCCTTTCAATAATTGTGTAAGTTATTTTATGACATTTAACATATGTTTAAAACACTTGGTACTAGATTTTAGTCTATAAATTAATGTATGATGTTGATCGAGTCGCTTTGCTTCTGAAACTAAATTTTAATCAACATCTGAAGAAAGATAAAGTTTACCAGTTCTTTTATGACGTTACAATGGTAGATATTGACCTATTAGTATTTCTTTTATTAAGAACTGACCTTCACTTTGTGTGAGTTCATTGGAGTATGAACCTTCATAGAGTGAGGGCCAAACTGTATGAACGTCGGAGCTTGCGACGACGTTCAAACAATGTTTGGCCCTCACTCTATGAAGGTTCATACTCCAATGAACTCACACAAAGTAAAGGTCAATTTTTATAATTTTTTAACACAATTTCTTACCTCAAAGGATGAAGGCCAAGATCTAAACACAATTGTATTTAGTACGTGTGACTTCATGTTTACACTGACAGCCATACAACAACCAGCTATATCTCGGAGTAAAATAGTTCCTCAAAAAGAGAGGTGACATGGGCGTATGGATGCACAACTTGCTCTTCAGAAACATCTTACGCAGCACATGTGTGCAAATCATATCCTCATTAGATGAGAAAGGTCTGTAAAGAACTACCTCAGTAAGTCAGTCACAATGACAGCGCGTCGTAATACATTTACATCAATGTACAAGACGTCAAAATGGCCGACACGATAAACGTGACGGGAGAGATTTCCGAAGTTGTTAATGAACCTGTGGCTGTTACATGTGTTAGTCATCATTGATCAACTGGCCGATCATTGAAAGGTGAATAAAGATGCGTCAAACAGACACAAATGTAAATTCATAGATTGCTGGAGACGGTCAATGTCAGCCTAGGCACGGATCGAGTCGATACTACGATAGTTTAGATGTGCATTTCTTCGTTTGTTAATTAGGATATTAGCGAGGATATTCGTGAACACGCATGCAGTCACGTTCTCTGACATTTCTCAATGTATACTGAAACGCTGAGACCAAGAATAAAGGTTCTAAATGATCAGAAAGAACGCTTATGCATGTTTTCGTGCTAGGGAATTCCAAAGGGGTTTCCCCAGGAATGTGGAAGTAGTCCGTCAGTGTTTACGTCATTTCAAGAACACGGTCTCGTGAAAAACGAATGAACGTCAAATTGTGTCGTTCATACACTTATGAACGTCAATTTCGCGGTCATGTGATCGTCCTCTCGTCCAATGGAAAAGCCGTATATCGTGTAAACTTCAAAATAAAAATAAAAATTAGATTTGAATCACTGGACTCGATTATTTACAGACCGCCGTCATATAGCTGGAATATTGCTTTGTGCGGCGTTAAACAACCAAAAATGTATTAGATTTGTGCATAATTTTCCACAGCGGCCGGACGAGTTGAGTCACGAAAACTATATAATTTCCTGTCGGAATGGAGATGGTGAACTCAGATAAAATACGTACAGTCTCACATACTTCGAAACGATGTTCAGATAAAATGTTTTGTTAACTCCAATTCTGTCATGGACGTGAACTTGGATTTCAACATTATTTCCATCAAGATTATTCAGGTCGTTTGCTACACGGATCCCCCTCTCTTGTAAACTACATCGGTATGAAGACATATTGGTCCCGAAGCTCAAAGCAACAATGTTTCTCTCAGATGCATTTTTTTCTGTTTCCATCCATGACGAGCATCTGTCATAATGGCAATGCCTCGACAATCTTCCTGGTCAATTGATTTCAACAATGTAATACACACAGACACATTCGCGGCTTCATCACAAATGTCCTTCGACCTACTCATCCACGTGATCAGGGTTACGACCTTGGGATGATTTGGTTGGTTTGTTTTGTTTAACGCCGCACTCAGCAATATTCAAGCAATATGACGGCGGTCTGTAAATAATCGAGTCTGGACCAGACAATCCAGTGATTGATATCATGAGCATCGATCCACGCAATTTGGATCGATGACATGCATCAACCAAGTCAGCGAGCCTGACCACCCGATCCCGTTAAGTCGCCTTTTACGACAAGCATAGTCGCCTTTACGGCAAGCATGGGTTGCTGAATTAATAAATCAATTTGCTTTTTTAGAAAGGAATTGTTTTCGTGAATACTGTTAATAAAAAAACCCATCCTGTACATGGTATTTATGGACTGCACTGTGGATTTCTTATATTCTTTTTACTTTCTAAAACGATTTGTTTCCCCCTTTCTGACCACGCGATCTCCTAGCAACCACTCCCCATGAACATATCCGAGTTAGATTGCTGCTTACGACTGTCAAGAATTTCTTCGCTTGTCTTCAATATTAGCAACAAACATTTTCGTGTGACGCTTAATTTGACGGAGAGTTGTTCGAGATGCTCAGGGAGCCTTTGGTCATTTGGATTATGACATTGGCGACTTTATCGTGGAGAAAGTTCCAATTCAAGATGACATCATTCCGACGGTCAACTCAATCGACAATGATGACAATTTGGCGCCTCTCTGCCCGAGTGAGTGAGTGAGTATGGTTTTACGCCGCTTTTAGCAATAGTACAGCAATATCACGGCGGGGGACACCAGAAATGGGCTTCACACATTGTACCCATGTCGGGAATCGAACCCAGGTCTTCGGCGTGACGAGCGAACGCTTTAACCACTTGGCTACCCGACCTCTCCTCCCGCCCTTGCAAGTGCAGGGAAACTTTGACAAACTCAGTGCCGATTCTTGGGATTAGTGAATCAGTGTCACAGCGAGATTTCATTGTGCAACCAGATGAAGCTGAATATGTATGTTCACAATTCTTTTATCAACCATGCGTGACACGGCACAGGCAATCGCAGTTAGGGAATGGTGCGGCCACCATGTTGTATAAATTTGTCAATTCAAAAACAGTACTAGTGCTGCCAATACTTCTGGACTGAGCTAAATAAACGAAGTGTTTGGAGAGGTCGTAGATACTCGGACTTGAAGACACGGATATTAAACGTTGCAGCAGATGAAGGATTGGTGTGAACAAAACGGGAAAGGGATCCCAGATTGTATTTTAAAACTTGTGCGCGAATTCGAAGTGTATCCAAATCCCCCGAAAAAAAAATACATGGGACAATTGTGGATCTAATGATCAAACTCAGTTTTGTGTGTGAAAATTCTGTGAAAGAAAAGGAAATCCATAATTAAAGTTGTCTTGGAATATGTGTATTGGGGTTTTCGTTTTTCGTAAGTACAATATTATCTAGATATGCCTAATGTAGGTCAAAACAGCTAGTATATTTCGTTACTTATTTATCAGTTGCTTATGTGCAATGTTATGTTGATACACGTGACATATTCATGTATTGAAGTCAAGCTAAGAAATATCAGCGCAACGTCTGGTGCTTCAAGTAAGGCCTCTTCTTAAAGACTTGTTGAAAAATCTGTGTGATAATTTAAGTTAAATATATGTAATCTGATTATTGTGTGGTATAGATATAACTGTTGAATGCAAATGACCAAGACTAAGTAATTTTCGGATTGAACTTAAAGAATCTTGTCGATTTCGTATTTAATGTATCGTTACTGTTACATTAACCAAAACCGTTGTGCTCCCAACACTCGGGTGCGTTTACATTGTCAGCCACTGCTAGAAACTGAAACACCGCCACCTTGCGGGCTATTTGTAGTCAGGGTGGGGCTTTAAGGTCGTTGTGAGAGTCCTCAACATATGTCAATAAATTATCATAATTCTAATTTAGAGACAAAAGAGACAAAATGATGTCACACACAGAAATGATGTATCACACAGATACCTGTAATATACATTACTCCCTACATATTCACCATGTATAATAAGGCATTATGTCGATTAAATGGAACATGATAGTACGATTTCCATTTTCGTAATGTTGCTTTGAGTTACTCACAAATTATTAAACATACCATAACATGCAGTACATAACGTACATGTGTGTGTGTGTGTGTGTGTGTGTGTGTGTGTGTGTGGTTGTGTGTGGGTGGGTGGGTGTGTCTCGGTGGGCGGGGTTATAGTGTTAGCCCATTGAGATACCATGCCGCAGTTGTAATATGAATGCTCCACTCAAACACAGTAAACTGACCAGTCATATTTTATCCCTTTAATGCCGAACGCAAGGCATGGTATCTGGAAGAACAATCTTTTAGCGTCCTTTGGTGTGACGCGGTCGGCCATCCGCGCTCTTCGGGCAGACTTCTCTATCTACTTGACCTCGGAGGAGATTTTTTACATTCTGTTTGGAGGAAGTGTGTGAAATCACATAACCCCACCTTCAATACACATCTGATGTGCACCAAATTTGCATTTTTTTAATGCTGTTCTTTCACTTTCGCTATTCTATAATTTCAGTGAATTCAATTGTCGTCCTTTTTCGTATTTTTCAGCTTGATGGTGACTTACACAATACCTCGGAGAATGACATCAAGACTGAAACGGACAAGTTTGGGAAGACGATAAAATTCATGATGTTTAGAGGATTGCACTATATTCCAGGCTACGATACCGCAGTCCTCGAAGAAGTAGACAACTTCTCTATGAGACCCGATGATATTTACTTCCCTTCTTTTCCAAGGACTGGTAAGCTGGTCTTAGTGGGTTGTGTGAGTTTGAATGTGAGTGTTTGCTTTCATGCCGTTTCAGTTATACAAGTATCAAGGCGCTCGTAAAATGGCAATTGCTCTTTCAATTTTGACGGTATGCGAAAAACAGACAACTTGAGTTATCAGCCTTTGTGTATGGACATTTGGATTGTTCAAGACGTTTTGCATGACTGAAAAGGATGACTAGCTGTACCTCCAGAAGCGCGAGACGAGTGCGATTCTATTTTTGTTACTGCCACATATTTGACATATTCTATTGCCTTTTCGTTGGTTGGTTGGCTGGTTGTTGTTTATTCCACCTATATGACGGGACCCGTGAAGATCCGGGGTAGAATAGGTCTTCAGCAACCCATGCTTGCCATAAAAGGCAAGTACATGCATCAACCAAGTCAGCGAGCCTGACCACCCGATCCCGTTAGTCGCCTCTTACGACAAACAAAGTCGCCTTTGACGGCAAGCATGGGTTGCTGAAGTCCTATTCTACACCGAATCTTCACGGGTCGTAGTATTGCCTTTTCAGTTGTAAACCTAATCCTGTGGTTCAATATTATTTGTTAATTATTCATTGATCTTTTGTGGTAAAGTACTGATTTCACAATGTAGTTCGTGCGGTCGGGTAGCCTAGTGGTTACAGCGCTCGCTCGTCACGCCGAAGACCATGGTTCGATTCCCGACATTGGTACAATGTGTGAAGCCCATTTCTGGTGTCCCCCGCCATGATATTGCTGGACTATTGCTAAAAGCGGCGTAAAACCATCCTCACTCACTCACTCACTCACAATGTAGTTCTGTATGTACCGAATTCTGAATCAGCATGTAACACACAAAACCAATCATTTTCAACATTACAGATCACAAAACAGATTTGCTTATTTATTTGTAGGTACCCACTGGACTTTCGAAATAGTATGTATGCTCTTGAAAGGCAAAGCAGAAACCATCCAACGATTTAAGGGAAGAAATCAACTAGAGTTTGCGACTAACGATGTTTTGAGTACTCTCCCTTCTCCAAGGGTTATCAATACCCACTTCCGGTTGTCGGACGCACCACGGGAGATGAAGGAAAAGAAGTGCAAGATTATCTACAACCTCAGGGACCCGAGAGACGTGGCTGTCTCCCTCTATCACCTCTATGTCGATCTAAAGTTCTCGGAATGCGAGTGCTCCTTTGAGGGATTTTGGTATCTGTTTCTTGAAGGAAAAAGTAAGTGGTTGGTTGGTTGATTTGTTGTTTAACGCCGCACTCAGCAATATTCCAGCCTTCTGACGGCGGTTAATAAAAAAATCGAGTGTGGACCAGACAATCCAGTGATTAATATCATGAGCATCGATCCACGCAATTGGGACCGATGAAATGCATCAACTAAGTCAGCGAGCCTGACCACTCGATTCCGTTAGTCGCCTTTTACGACAAGTATAGTCGCCTTTTACGGCAAGCATGTGTTGCCGAAGACCTATTCTACCCTGGAATCCTCACGGGTCCAAAAAAAGGTAAGTGAAACTTAGTGATAAGGTGTAGTAATCAGCAACAGAAAATATCACCACTTCCGAGTACGGTTTTAGTTTCAACGAAATCAGTAAAAGCGTGATCGTTTCACTGGGTTTTCTGGTCCAGACAAGATTGCTCCCAGGCCGCCATATCCGTATATCAGGAGTGCGGGTTTGGACAGCAAACACTCTTAGATACAAAGTGTGTGAATGGCGGGGCATGCCAGTATGACAGGACATTCTTTCCCTTTTCGCAAAACCCCGGTGCCATCACTGAATGTCAGTGATCCTTTCATATAAATTTAACCTCTTTTTTGCCTTTGCCTTTTTATTCTCTGGTGCATGAAACGCAATGTGTTTGTGGATATCTGAATATGAACTTGTTTGTTTCAGCTGAAGTGGATGGGATATTTTAACATTGGCGAGATGCTGAGGAATTCTTCAAAGAAAATCCAGATATTCCTGTTTACTTCTAGATCTATGAGGAAACTCAGAAGGTAAGATTGGCCATTTTAAGAAGGTGTGATAAATCATGTGTTATTATGATTTGTGTCCTTATTTCTAGTATTAGTATTATCATTTGTATATTTCGTAAAAAGAAAGAAAGCGATCCTTGTTTAGCCTGGTTGTCTTTGTTTCATGAAGGATGGACTCTGGTCTAAAATTAAGAGTATTTACCATTTCCTTGATGTTTTCTATTGAGCAGAATGCACTTATTAACCTCAATGCCAAATTCACAATTTACGATAGCGGCACACATGGAAATCATTGTCTCTCCAAAATATATGAACCTCATACACAGTAAACGTGTTTACGTAAGAGTATATTATTATTTATATACTCACACGCAAAAGAAACGCAAGTGGTTTGAAGCAAATAGGTAACAAACACGGAACCATAAATTGATACGAGTTTTAGCTTGTAGTGAAGCCTGATGGTGTTATCAATATTTTTGGTTGCATTTTGGAAACCCCGAGTAAAAACGCAACATAAAAAACGAATCGCCAAAACGCACAATTTCAATGAATATGTGGGTATCATGCACCCATTTCTCGCGAAATCGAAAATGCTCGAAATGTCAAGAACTGTAGTGGGTATAAAACTGTGGCCGATTCTTGGACCTACCGCTCCTAGGTCAACAATGCCACGCCCAACTCAAATTCAGAGAAACCAGGCTATCGGACGTTTGGAAGCTGGAGAGTCTGTCCAAGATGTTGTCCATCATTTCAACGTTAACATAACCACAATTTACCGTCTCCTGCATCGATACAATGCTACACAGACCACAGATGACCTTCCTCGGAGTGGTCGTCCTAGGGTCACCACACCTCGACAAGATCGGCAGATTACCCGTCAACACCAGCGACATCCGTTCCTAATTGCAAGTGAAAGTGCTCGACAGACCATAGGAACATATAATCGACACATTAGCCGGGACACTGTGATCCGACGTTTCCGTTCCAACAACCTCAGATGTCGCCGACCAGCACGTCGTCCTGTTCTCTAACCACGGCATCGACAAGCACGACTTCAGTGGGCACAGGGTCATCGCAATTGGCGTCATCGTGAGTGGAGGCGTGTCATCTTCTCTGATGAAAGTCGCTTTTGTGTCTCCCATGCAGACGGAAGAGTCAGAATTTGGCGGCGTCGAGGTGATCGATTCGCTGACAGAAACGTTGTGGAAAGGGATCCATGGCTACGCCAAAGCACATCCTTACGGTGAGTAAGACTAGTAATTTATTAGGGGTGGGTAAGGGTTGTTAGATTGGCCTTAGAACAGTATCACATTCGGTATTAAACAACAAACATTTCATGACAGCAATAAGTGCACGTTATCGCAGAAACTAAGGTCAAACAGGCGTCTCGACATGTAGCGACCACAGGCACGTAACAATCTCTCTCTATATATGGCAATGTGTTTTGTCAAAGTCACATTTGTCCGAAAGCTCCGATTCTTGAAACTTTGTTGGTCCCATGGCAGTGACCCAGATTCCCTGTTGATTGGAATGACAAGTGTCATTTGCATAAGGCCATCCATATTTTTTATATGTGTTTCTCACCTCAAACCACTAGAGAGCGGACCGACGAAATAAAATATGTAACTTATTAAAAAAAATGCCTTTCAATAATTGTGTAAGTTATTTTATGACATTTAACATATGTTTAAAACACTTGGTACTAGATTTTAGTCTATAAATTAATGTATGATGTTGATCGAGTCGCTTTGCTTCTGAAACTAAATTTTAATCAACATCTGAAGAAAGATAAAGTTTACCAGTTCTTTTATGACGTTACAATGGTAGATATTGACCTATTAGTATTTCTTTTATTAAGAACTGACCTTCACTTTGTGTGAGTTCATTGGAGTATGAACCTTCATAGAGTGAGGGCCAAACTGTATGAACGTCGGAGCTTGCGACGACGTTCAAACAATGTTTGGCCCTCACTCTATGAAGGTTCATACTCCAATGAACTCACACAAAGTAAAGGTCAATTTTTATAATTTTTTAACACAATTTCTTACCTCAAAGGATGAAGGCCAAGATCTAAACACAATTGTATTTAGTACGTGTGACTTCATGTTTACACTGACAGCCATACAACAACCAGCTATATCTCGGAGTAAAATAGTTCCTCAAAAAGAGAGGTGACATGGGCGTATGGATGCACAACTTGCTCTTCAGAAACATCTTACGCAGCACATGTGTGCAAATCATATCCTCATTAGATGAGAAAGGTCTGTAAAGAACTACCTCAGTAAGTCAGTCACAATGACAGCGCGTCGTAATACATTTACATCAATGTACAAGACGTCAAAATGGCCGACACGATAAACGTGACGGGAGAGATTTCCGAAGTTGTTAATGAACCTGTGGCTGTTACATGTGTTAGTCATCATTGATCAACTGGCCGATCATTGAAAGGTGAATAAAGATGCGTCAAACAGACACAAATGTAAATTCATAGATTGCTGGAGACGGTCAATGTCAGCCTAGGCACGGATCGAGTCGATACTACGATAGTTTAGATGTGCATTTCTTCGTTTGTTAATTAGGATATTAGCGAGGATATTCGTGAACACGCATGCAGTCACGTTCTCTGACATTTCTCAATGTATACTGAAACGCTGAGACCAAGAATAAAGGTTCTAAATGATCAGAAAGAACGCTTATGCATGTTTTCGTGCTAGGGAATTCCAAAGGGGTTTCCCCAGGAATGTGGAAGTAGTCCGTCAGTGTTTACGTCATTTCAAGAACACGGTCTCGTGAAAAACGAATGAACGTCAAATTGTGTCGTTCATACACTTATGAACGTCAATTTCGCGGTCATGTGATCGTCCTCTCGTCCAATGGAAAAGCCGTATATCGTGTAAACTTCAAAATAAAAATAAAAATTAGATTTGAATCACTGGACTCGATTATTTACAGACCGCCGTCATATAGCTGGAATATTGCTTTGTGCGGCGTTAAACAACCAAAAATGTATTAGATTTGTGCATAATTTTCCACAGCGGCCGGACGAGTTGAGTCACGAAAACTATATAATTTCCTGTCGGAATGGAGATGGTGAACTCAGATAAAATACGTACAGTCTCACATACTTCGAAACGATGTTCAGATAAAATGTTTTGTTAACTCCAATTCTGTCATGGACGTGAACTTGGATTTCAACATTATTTCCATCAAGATTATTCAGGTCGTTTGCTACACGGATCCCCCCCCTCTCTTGTAAACTACATCGGTATGAAGACATATTGGTCCCGAAGCTCAAAGCAACAATGTTTCTCTCAGATGCATTTTTTTCTGTTTCCATCCATGACGAGCATCTGTCATAATGGCAATGCCTCGACAATCTTCCTGGTCAATTGATTTCAACAATGTAATACACACAGACACATTCGCGGCTTCATCACAAATGTCCTTCGACCTACTCATCCACGTGATCAGGGTTACGACCTTGGGATGATTTGGTTGGTTTGTTTTGTTTAACGCCGCACTCAGCAATATTCAAGCAATATGACGGCGGTCTGTAAATAATCGAGTCTGGACCAGACAATCCAGTGATTGATATCATGAGCATCGATCCACGCAATTTGGATCGATGACATGCATCAACCAAGTCAGCGAGCCTGACCACCCGATCCCGTTAAGTCGCCTTTTACGACAAGCATAGTCGCCTTTACGGCAAGCATGGGTTGCTGAATTAATAAATCAATTTGCTTTTTTAGAAAGGAATTGTTTTCGTGAATACTGTTAATAAAAAAACCCATCCTGTACATGGTATTTATGGACTGCACTGTGGATTTCTTATATTCTTTTTACTTTCTAAAACGATTTGTTTCCCCCTTTCTGACCACGCGATCTCCTAGCAACCACTCCCCATGAACATATCCGAGTTAGATTGCTGCTTACGACTGTCAAGAATTTCTTCGCTTGTCTTCAATATTAGCAACAAACATTTTCGTGTGACGCTTAATTTGACGGAGAGTTGTTCGAGATGCTCAGGGAGCCTTTGGTCATTTGGATTATGACATTGGCGACTTTATCGTGGAGAAAGTTCCAATTCAAGATGACATCATTCCGACGGTCAACTCAATCGACAATGATGACAATTTGGCGCCTCTCTGCCCGAGTGAGTGAGTGAGTATGGTTTTACGCCGCTTTTAGCAATAGTACAGCAATATCACGGCGGGGGACACCAGAAATGGGCTTCACACATTGTACCCATGTCGGGAATCGAACCCAGGTCTTCGGCGTGACGAGCGAACGCTTTAACCACTTGGCTACCCGACCTCTCCTCCCGCCCTTGCAAGTGCAGGGAAACTTTGACAAACTCAGTGCCGATTCTTGGGATTAGTGAATCAGTGTCACAGCGAGATTTCATTGTGCAACCAGATGAAGCTGAATATGTATGTTCACAATTCTTTTATCAACCATGCGTGACACGGCACAGGCAATCGCAGTTAGGGAATGGTGCGGCCACCATGTTGTATAAATTTGTCAATTCAAAAACAGTACTAGTGCTGCCAATACTTCTGGACTGAGCTAAATAAACGAAGTGTTTGGAGAGGTCGTAGATACTCGGACTTGAAGACACGGATATTAAACGTTGCAGCAGATGAAGGATTGGTGTGAACAAAACGGGAAAGGGATCCCAGATTGTATTTTAAAACTTGTGCGCGAATTCGAAGTGTATCCAAATCCCCCGAAAAAAAAATACATGGGACAATTGTGGATCTAATGATCAAACTCAGTTTTGTGTGTGAAAATTCTGTGAAAGAAAAGGAAATCCATAATTAAAGTTGTCTTGGAATATGTGTATTGGGGTTTTCGTTTTTCGTAAGTACAATATTATCTAGATATGCCTAATGTAGGTCAAAACAGCTAGTATATTTCGTTACTTATTTATCAGTTGCTTATGTGCAATGTTATGTTGATACACGTGACATATTCATGTATTGAAGTCAAGCTAAGAAATATCAGCGCAACGTCTGGTGCTTCAAGTAAGGCCTCTTCTTAAAGACTTGTTGAAAAATCTGTGTGATAATTTAAGTTAAATATATGTAATCTGATTATTGTGTGGTATAGATATAACTGTTGAATGCAAATGACCAAGACTAAGTAATTTTCGGATTGAACTTAAAGAATCTTGTCGATTTCGTATTTAATGTATCGTTACTGTTACATTAACCAAAACCGTTGTGCTCCCAACACTCGGGTGCGTTTACATTGTCAGCCACTGCTAGAAACTGAAACACCGCCACCTTGCGGGCTATTTGTAGTCAGGGTGGGGCTTTAAGGTCGTTGTGAGAGTCCTCAACATATGTCAATAAATTATCATAATTCTAATTTAGAGACAAAAGAGACAAAATGATGTCACACACAGAAATGATGTATCACACAGATACCTGTAATATACATTACTCCCTACATATTCACCATGTATAATAAGGCATTATGTCGATTAAATGGAACATGATAGTACGATTTCCATTTTCGTAATGTTGCTTTGAGTTACTCACAAATTATTAAACATACCATAACATGCAGTACATAACGTACATGTGTGTGTGTGTGTGTGTGTGTGTGTGTGTGTGTGTGGTTGTGTGTGGGTGGGTGGGTGTGTCTCGGTGGGCGGGGTTATAGTGTTAGCCCATTGAGATACCATGCCGCAGTTGTAATATGAATGCTCCACTCAAACACAGTAAACTGACCAGTCATATTTTATCCCTTTAATGCCGAACGCAAGGCATGGTATCTGGAAGAACAATCTTTTAGCGTCCTTTGGTGTGACGCGGTCGGCCATCCGCGCTCTTCGGGCAGACTTCTCTATCTACTTGACCTCGGAGGAGATTTTTTACATTCTGTTTGGAGGAAGTGTGTGAAATCACATAACCCCACCTTCAATACACATCTGATGTGCACCAAATTTGCATTTTTTTAATGCTGTTCTTTCACTTTCGCTATTCTATAATTTCAGTGAATTCAATTGTCGTCCTTTTTCGTATTTTTCAGCTTGATGGTGACTTACACAATACCTCGGAGAATGACATCAAGACTGAAACGGACAAGTTTGGGAAGACGATAAAATTCATGATGTTTAGAGGATTGCACTATATTCCAGGCTACGATACCGCAGTCCTCGAAGAAGTAGACAACTTCTCTATGAGACCCGATGATATTTACTTCCCTTCTTTTCCAAGGACTGGTAAGCTGGTCTTAGTGGGTTGTGTGAGTTTGAATGTGAGTGTTTGCTTTCATGCCGTTTCAGTTATACAAGTATCAAGGCGCTCGTAAAATGGCAATTGCTCTTTCAATTTTGACGGTATGCGAAAAACAGACAACTTGAGTTATCAGCCTTTGTGTATGGACATTTGGATTGTTCAAGACGTTTTGCATGACTGAAAAGGATGACTAGCTGTACCTCCAGAAGCGCGAGACGAGTGCGATTCTATTTTTGTTACTGCCACATATTTGACATATTCTATTGCCTTTTCGTTGGTTGGTTGGCTGGTTGTTGTTTATTCCACCTATATGACGGGACCCGTGAAGATCCGGGGTAGAATAGGTCTTCAGCAACCCATGCTTGCCATAAAAGGCAAGTACATGCATCAACCAAGTCAGCGAGCCTGACCACCCGATCCCGTTAGTCGCCTCTTACGACAAACAAAGTCGCCTTTGACGGCAAGCATGGGTTGCTGAAGTCCTATTCTACACCGAATCTTCACGGGTCGTAGTATTGCCTTTTCAGTTGTAAACCTAATCCTGTGGTTCAATATTATTTGTTAATTATTCATTGATCTTTTGTGGTAAAGTACTGATTTCACAATGTAGTTCGTGCGGTCGGGTAGCCTAGTGGTTACAGCGCTCGCTCGTCACGCCGAAGACCATGGTTCGATTCCCGACATTGGTACAATGTGTGAAGCCCATTTCTGGTGTCCCCCGCCATGATATTGCTGGACTATTGCTAAAAGCTGCGTAAAACCATCCTCACTCACTCACTCACTCACAATGTAGTTCTGTATGTACCGAATTCTGAATCAGCATGTAACACACAAAACCAATCATTTTCAACATTACAGATCACAAAACAGATTTGCTTATTTATTTGTAGGTACCCACTGGACTTTCGAAATAGTATGTATGCTCTTGAAAGGCAAAGCAGAAACCATCCAACGATTTAAGGGAAGAAATCAACTAGAGTTTGCGACTAACGATGTTTTGAGTACTCTCCCTTCTCCAAGGGTTATCAATACCCACTTCCGGTTGTCGGACGCACCACGGGAGATGAAGGAAAAGAAGTGCAAGATTATCTACAACCTCAGGGACCCGAGAGACGTGGCTGTCTCCCTCTATCACCTCTATGTCGATCTAAAGTTCTCGGAATGCGAGTGCTCCTTTGAGGGATTTTGGTATCTGTTTCTTGAAGGAAAAAGTAAGTGGTTGGTTGGTTGATTTGTTGTTTAACGCCGCACTCAGCAATATTCCAGCCTTCTGACGGCGGTTAATAAAAAAATCGAGTGTGGACCAGACAATCCAGTGATTAATATCATGAGCATCGATCCACGCAATTGGGACCGATGAAATGCATCAACTAAGTCAGCGAGCCTGACCACTCGATTCCGTTAGTCGCCTTTTACGACAAGTATAGTCGCCTTTTACGGCAAGCATGTGTTGCCGAAGACCTATTCTACCCTGGAATCCTCACGGGTCCAAAAAAAGGTAAGTGAAACTTAGTGATAAGGTGTAGTAATCAGCAACAGAAAATATCACCACTTCCGAGTACGGTTTTAGTTTCAACGAAATCAGTAAAAGCGTGATCGTTTCACTGGGTTTTCTGGTCCAGACAAGATTGCTCCCAGGCCGCCATATCCGTATATCAGGAGTGCGGGTTTGGACAGCAAACACTCTTAGATACAAAGTGTGTGAATGGCGGGGCATGCCAGTATGACAGGACATTCTTTCCCTTTTCGCAAAACCCCGGTGCCATCACTGAATGTCAGTGATCCTTTCATATAAATTTAACCTCTTTTTTGCCTTTGCCTTTTTATTCTCTGGTGCATGAAACGCAATGTGTTTGTGGATATCTGAATATGAACTTGTTTGTTTCAGCTGAAGTGGATGGGATATTTTAACATTGGCGAGATGCTGAGGAATTCTTCAAAGAAAATCCAGATATTCCTGTTTACTTCTAGATCTATGAGGAAACTCAGAAGGTAAGATTGGCCATTTTAAGAAGGTGTGATAAATCATGTGTTATTATGATTTGTGTCCTTATTTCTAGTATTAGTATTATCATTTGTATATTTCGTAAAAAGAAAGAAAGCGATCCTTGTTTAGCCTGGTTGTCTTTGTTTCATGAAGGATGGACTCTGGTCTAAAATTAAGAGTATTTACCATTTCCTTGATGTTTTCTATTGAGCAGAATGCACTTATTAACCTCAATGCCAAATTCACAATTTACGATAGCGGCACACATGGAAATCATTGTCTCTCCAAAATATATGAACCTCATACACAGTAAACGTGTTTACGTAAGAGTATATTATTATTTATATACTCACACGCAAAAGAAACGCAAGTGGTTTGAAGCAAATAGGTAACAAACACGGAACCATAAATTGATACGAGTTTTAGCTTGTAGTGAAGCCTGATGGTGTTATCAATATTTTTGGTTGCATTTTGGAAACCCCGAGTAAAAACGCAACATAAAAAACGAATCGCCAAAACGCACAATTTCAATGAATATGTGGGTATCATGCACCCATTTCTCGCGAAATCGAAAATGCTCGAACTGTCAAGAACTGTAGTGGGTATAAAACTGTGGCCGATTCTTGGACCTACCGCTCCTAGGTCAACAATGCCACGCCCAACTCAAATTCAGAGAAACCAGGCTATCGGACGTTTGGAAGCTGGAGAGTCTGTCCAAGATGTTGTCCATCATTTCAACGTTAACATAACCACAATTTACCGTCTCCTGCATCGATACAATGCTACACAGACCACAGATGACCTTCCTCGGAGTGGTCGTCCTAGGGTCACCACACCTCGACAAGATCGGCAGATTACCCGTCAACACCAGCGACATCCGTTCCTAATTGCAAGTGAAAGTGCTCGACAGACCATAGGAACATATAATCGACACATTAGCCGGGACACTGTGATCCGACGTTTCCGTTCCAACAACCTCAGATGTCGCCGACCAGCACGTCGTCCTGTTCTCTAACCACGGCATCGACAAGCACGACTTCAGTGGGCACAGGGTCATCGCAATTGGCGTCATCGTGAGTGGAGGCGTGTCATCTTCTCTGATGAAAGTCGCTTTTGTGTCTCCCATGCAGACGGAAGAGTCAGAATTTGGCGGCGTCGAGGTGATCGATTCGCTGACAGAAACGTTGTGGAAAGGGATCCATGGGGTGGACCTAGCGTCATGATATGGGCAGGGATTGGACTTAATGCGAGACTTGGACCCATGTGCTTTCTGAATGTTGGTCAAGGTCGGGGACACGGCGTCACTGCTCAGCGGTATATCGACCAAGTGATCAGACCCCACGTTGTTCCATTTTTTGCACAACATCAGCAACACATTTTCAAGCAGGACAACGCTCGTCCCCATGTTGCCAGAGCTACCATGGCCTTTTTGCAACAACACAACATCCGTGTTCTACCGTGGCCAGCCCTCAGCCCTGATCTGGACCCCATCGAACACTTGTGGGATGAGGTTCAAAGGCGTCTGCACAATTTTGCGCCCAGTCCCTTCAACTGCCGATGAACTGCGCACAGCTGCTCTGGATGTGTGCAGGAGGATCCCTAGGGCCTTCACAAATCGTCTGATCCACTCAATGTACAGGAGATGTGTGGCAGTGATCAATGCTAATGGTGGTCACACCAGGTATTGACTGACATTTGGGTATTGACCCGAAACTGTGTAAGCCCTTAACATTTGAAAAAAACAATTATGTCATCTGCCTTTTAATCCATTAAACTGTCTTCGGTCAATTTTTTGTCAATCTTGCCCTATTAGTATTTCTTGTCTTTACTGTTGAAAATAAATACCATGTATACTGCATACTCGACTTGCGTTTCTTTTGCGTGTGAGTATATTTGTAAATGTGTAATTTATTGACCAAGTGAATATATAAGTGCGCAATTACGTATTTTCTTTAGTCCTACAGAGCAGCTATGATATAACGTAACATACTTACAATGCAGTAACGTCATAGTATTAATAACGTTACGTCGCTACTCTCATTCCTAGTACCGTATAAAAATAACAGTTAATTTACTGAGGTAAAGCTTACTAACGCAGATTGTTTACTATGTTATTCATATAATTCACAGCTTCATTTATATAGAATCATCGTTTCGTTTGGGAAGGCAAGGTGTATATTAGAGAAAGCTGCAATGATGTCTTCGCCAATGGGTTACTTGAACAGCAGCTATTCGGGAATATTTTGTTGTTTAACGCCGCACTCAGCAATATTCCATCTATATGACGGCGATCTGTAATAATCGAGTCTTGACCAGACAATCCAGTGATTGCCATCATGAGCATCGATCTACAGATTGTGGATAGGGTCACATGCGTCAACCAAGTCAGCGAGCCTAACCAACCTGTCCCGTTAGTTGCCTTTTATGACAAAAATAGTCGCCGCTTATGACAAGTATGGGTTACTGAAGACCAAAGAGTATCTTCGCTGATCAGATATGTCCATACATGCATTTGCATTTTACTCAGCATGAACATATTCTGAGAATTAATGTATTGATGCCAAACATATTTCTGATGATTATTGAATTTGTTTTTTAGAATCCTGTGTCGGCTGTGCAACGCCTCTCGGATTTCCTTGGTCTACAAAGAAATGATGAGCTTTGCCAAGCCATTGCTGCAAAATGCAAAATCTCTAACATGAGAAAAGACAAAGAAAAATACTGTTTAAAAGTTGATGGAGAGAGCCACCTTTACAGGAAAGGTAAAAATCCCAGTTGAATAAAAAGACAAATTTTAATTCATTAGTATGATGTGTTAAATGTTTTATCCAGGAATCAGTAGTGTCTGAGGTCAACCAATTAAACACCTCATGTTTTTGACCTCCCAAAGCGCACGATCAATTTAACCCGTGATAAATGAAGAACTAGTGAATTTAAGATTTATGTATTGATCTATATGTATATGAGGTGATGTCTTGGTACTTGAGATATCTTGGTGAACGCAAATAATTGTTTTGAAATGCTATGCCATGCTGAAATGACATACAACCAGTGTTGATTATAACCTTTCTACACCGTCCTCGCACACAAAATCTTGCTCTCTCGCTCATAATTTCTCAAATGGGATATATCTTAATTGTTCTTGTACATACATTTTGGACGGACAGTGTGCCTTATCTATTTCATATCTAATAAAATATATACTGTACATTATATTATTATGTAAATATTTCTTACGAAACTAATAAACTGAAGAAATCGTAACATTGTTTCTAAGAGTTCATGTAGTGAGTGAGTGAGTATGGTTTTACGCCGCTTTTAGCAATGGTCCAGCAATATCACGGCGGGGTACACCAGAAATGGGCTTCACACATTGTAACCATGTCGGGAATCGAACCCGGGTCTTCGGCGTGACGGGCGAACGCTGTAGCCACTAGGCTAGCCGACCGCCCCAAGATTACATGTAACCGTATTCTGAGAATATGAACATTTATTACAAATATGTTCCTTTACGTGGTTTTAGAATCATGTGTTGGCTGTTGGATGTCAACGTACTCAGTCGTTCAAGACCGCCGTCATATTGCTCAAAGCAGCGTTACGACCCGAGAAGATCCGGGGTAAAATAGGTCTTCAGCAACCCATGCTTGCCATAATAGGTGACCTATGCTTGTCGTAAGAGGCGACTAACGGGATCGGGTGGTCAGGCTCGCTGACTTGGTTGATGAAGGTCATCGCATCCGAACTACGTGGATCAATGCTCATGATGTCTACCACTGAATTGTCTGGTCCACACTCGATTATTTACAGACCGCCGTCATATATCATGACATGTCAACGTTTGATCGATCCAAGCTATATTTGTTGTTCATTTAATCATTTTACTCTTTGCATCTGTTTAACAGGTATAGTTGGCGACTGGAAAAACTATTTCACAGATCAAATGTTGGAGGACTACTATCGGGTGTATGAAGAGAAGATGGCCGGATCGAGATTTTACAAACTTTACTCTTCAAAACCATGATGAGATGTCAAACCTTACTTACATGGTAGCCCATTTCTGGTGTCCCCGCCGTGATATTGCTGGAATATTGCTAAAAGCGGCGTAAAACCTCACTCACTCACTCACTACTTACATGGTACTCCTTGAACACGGGAAGAGAACACATCGTTATTAGATCAATGCTCAATATCTATCAAATATTACGAATCAGCAACATTTAGGTCCTGCAGTCAAGATAGATTGCACATATGGGATAGAATAGGTCTTCAGCAACCCATGCTTGCCGTAAAAGGCGACTATGCTTGTCGTAAAAGGCGACTAACGGGATCGGGTGGTCAGGCTCGCTGACTTGGTTGATGCATGTCATCGATCCCAATTGCGTGGATCGATGTACATGATGTAAATCACTGGATTGTCTGGTCCAGACTCGATTATTTACAGACCGCCGTCATATAGCTGGAATATTGCTGAGTGCGGCGTTAACAAAAAAAGACAAAAAAACAAACACATCTATGCGATTTCAGCACAACCTGGTTATAATGTACATTTTGTACATTGGAAAATATGGTATTTCAACCAGATTGGCATTATATACATACGTGAACGATGGACCAATTATAAGAACCAAAATACATTCAATTCATGTATTTATTTAAACGTGATTTATCCAAGTTACATTTTCACACCCTGTTCAATTATGTATAATCTTTAAGAATTGACTTTCACTGTGACTTCATGTTTACAGTGACAGCCATACAACAACCAACTCTAAATCGGAATAAAATTGCATCAACCAAGTCAGCGAGCCTGACCACCCGATCCCGGTAGAAGCCTCTTACGACAAGCATAGTCGCCTTTTACGACAAGCATGGGTTGGAATCTTAGAGAGGGGAATGGACCTGAGTACCGACGCAGATGCGTGGAGAACTATCTTAGAGGATATTATTACCTGAGGCGATTATTAGTTCCGAGACAAAGACAAACAGGAGGATTAGTTTTGTGCCCAAATAGTGCAGAAGGCACTCTGGACTGTCGGTTGTCATAACGTATACGATATGTGTAATATGTTTATTACGTATAAAAGTAATGTTAGTATGCTTTGAAATCATCGTCAATATTAGATACACATGTGACTGTCAGGATGTACAGAGCGAGCAAGTTTTTATTTGTTTTTTATTTCCCCCCGCCTCGATGCACCAATACGAACTGATCGTGTTGATGAACAATAACACGTGTGGTTCTATTTATAGACTGACCGCGCTCGGAGGTCTTAAACCGGATGTTTTTTTATCCGAAACTGCACAGCCGTTAGTGTTAACCTTTCTGTGTGGTGAGTGAGTGAGTGAGTGAGTGAGTGAGTTCGGTTTAACGCTGCTTTTAACAGTATTCCAGTTATATCGCGGCGTGTCAGCTTAATGTGGGAGGAAAGCCCGAAGTGATGCAGGTCTCAGACGTTTACCACTTCGGTGAAACCAACGAGCACGGGTATGGTGCTGAAAAACCTAGAAACATAATTGGGGCGAACCGGGATTCGAACCCACAATCATAGGTTTCTGCCGTGCCCAAGGGACGTAACTCTGCACATCGAATCGCGGCGCCTTAGACGTCTGGGCCACCCGTGCCCCCCTTCTGTGTGGTGACGTACCGGTGTGTACAGTTATAAACTAAACAATAGGGTGAACTTTACATGCTGTAGTCGAGATAATGATACAATACTGAATATAGATATACTTGAACCTTGAAGTCGTGACGTGCAATATCAATATTTTGAACTGTGTCACACATGCCCTTGAGTAAGCTCGACCAGTTGGAAGTAGATCGTATATGTATTCCGTTTGCTTTGTAGCTACTCTTATTAGTATTTGTTTGTTAAATGAGGTTAAAAGCCGCCCTTACAGGGGCATCTAGATTTGACAACAAAATTGATTCATTCATGCCTTTCATTTTAGTTTCCCATTCTATGGCTATATTTATCTTTGTTGGGAAGATAGTGAGTGAGTGAGTGAGTGAGTATGGTTTTACGCCGCTTTTAGCAATATTCCAGCAATATCACGGCGGGGGACACCAGGAATGGGCTTCACACATTGTACCCATGTCGGGGATCGAACCTGGGTCTTCGGCATGACGAGCGAACGCTTTAACCACTAGGCTACCCGACCGCCCCTGTTGGGATGATAACCTTATAATAAAAGGCCATAGAGGAATTTGTATATCTTTGAGTTCTTGTAAAGAATTGATTTTCACTTTGTGCGCAAGCTCCGACGTTCATACAGTTTTGCCCTCACTCTATGAAGGTTCATACTCCAATTAACTCACACAAAGTGAAAGTCAATTCTGATAATTTTTTTATCACGATTTCTTACCTCAAAGGATGTAGGCCAAGACCTAAACACAGTTTTATTTAGTACGTGTGACTTCATGTTTACACTGACAGCCATACAACAACCAGCTATATCTCGGAGTAAAATAGTTCCTCAAAGAGAGAGGTGACATGTGACATGTGCGTATGGATGCACAACTTGCTCTTCAGAAACATCTTACGCAGCACATGTGTTCAAATCATATCCTCATTAGATGAGAAAGTTCTGTAAAGAACTACCTCAGTAAGTCAGTCACAATGACAGCGCGTCGTAATACATTTACATCGAGTACAAGACGTCAAAATGGCCGACACGATAAACGTGATGGGAGAGATTTCCGAAGTTGTTAATGAACCTGTGGCGGTTACATGTGTTAGTCATCATTGATCAACTGGCCGATCATTGAAAGGTGAATAAAGATGCGTCAAACAGACACAAATGTAAATTCATAGATTGCTGGAGACGGTCAGTGTCAGCCTCGACACGAATCGAGTCGATACTACGATAGTTTAGATATGCATTTCTTCGTTTGTTCATTAGGATATATTCGTGAACACTCATGCAGTCACGCTCTCTGACATTTCTCAATGTATACTGAAACGCTGAGACCAAGAATAAAGGTTCTAAATGATCAGAAAGAACGCTTATGTATGTTTTCGTGCTAGGGAATTCCCAGGGGTTTCCCCAGGAATGTGGAAGTAGTCCGTCAGTGTTTACGTCATTTCAAGAACACGGTCTCGTGAAAAACGTATGAACGTCAAATTGTGTCGTTCATGCACTTATGAACGTCAATTTCGCGGTCATGTGACCGACCTCTCGTCCAATGGTAAAGCCGTATATCGTTTAACTTCAAATTAATTATTAAATGGGTCTGATACATGTCCTCCAGGCCAATATAGAGCTTGATAATTTGTAATGCTTAATTTATCTTGTAGATTGACAATACAGGTAAAATGAAATGATACATAACATTTACATACAAGATATGGATTTGCTTCAGATCACTTCAAAGGCTTCCCGTATTGATTATACTTTGGTTTTGCACTTTTTAGCAATACATTAAATTTCACTGGGAACGGGAGGGGATTCTATTTCCACTATGGAACACCTTTATTTCTGTTTTCATATTTCTATGGTCACTTTTTATTTTTATTTTGAAAAACAATGTTCCATGTAGTTTATGGAAATCAAATACCCGTAGTACATTTCATTAACTTATGGCTAATATTAACAAAAATAGAAGTTCTATTTCGGCTAATTGCAGAGGTTTAGCAGAGGGACGGGCCCAGATCACCGACATAAGCTGTCGGATTGAACAGGTTGCTGAAGACCTATTCTACCCCGGATCTTTTACGGGTCCAGAATTAGACATGTCACATATTGTACCCATCACGTTCCAGCGCGCAAGATGAAGAACAACCTACCTGTACGAATATATCCGGTTAAATAGATGGCACATGCATATGCTACTCGTTGTGAGTTTGTCATAATGACCGGCCATCACTTGCCATGCATGTG